TCATTTGTTCTTCTGTTCATTTGTTTATTTGTTCTTCTGTTCATTTGTTCTTCTGTTCATCTGTTCATTCGTTCATCTGCTCATTTGTTCATCTGTTCATCCATTCATCTGCTCAGTTTGGTACAAGCTGCAGCTGTTGGACTCATGTTTGGACTATAGAGGAGTTCCTGGTCCACTCTGTGACTGGCAGGATCCCAAACCATCAGCCCTCCACCACCGTGCTGACATCTGGAAGGAGCTGTTAGCTGCAGTGCATTGTGGGTAAACATCTGTACTCTGGTCTGGTTCTGTCCCAGAAGTGTTGGTTGGGTCCGATGAAACTTTCCAAACCAAATACTTACATAGAAAAGGAGTCTAACGCTGTGTTGGATCAATAAGCCCAAAACAATACGGATTTGATATTCTTGTTTTTATTTATGAGTTTTTCAGTAAACTCATATGCGCAGATTGAAATCAGCATTTTTGAGACATATTTTGATCTCATCATTGAGCTGCTAAGACCTCAAACCCAAAGAGTAAACTTGAGAGACAGAAACTTCAGCTACATCCACACCCACCTCCACTCAGTATTTGACAAACTGCCTGAGTTAAGAGACATTTTTGTAACGACACACTCAAAGATTCTTCTGCCGCTCTCGTCTGCAGAAGTCGTTACAGCGAGCGAACCCGCATGGAAGATTTGTTTTACGCCGGATGCTCTTCCAAATTGGGCTCAAACCTGCAACCTCAGGATCACAAGACTGCATCACTGACCAGCGAGCTACCTCCGCCCTGTTAAACATGAGTAACCGTTTTAAATGGTGGAATTCAACATCAGCATACAGACCACAATGATCATGTATGTTTACTTAATGTGAACATAATTTTGTGTTTTCAAAGATCTTCATTTTCTTTTGATGGATGCCTTAATAAATTAAAGAATACAGTGTGTGTGTGTGTGTGGGGGGGTGGGTGGGATACTATAGACGCACAAGTAAACACATTTTCAGTAATTCTAGAGCTCTTTTCCTTTGTAATGCTAAAACCACAGAGTGAAGTCTTATCTATGACATGTGGTGGAGGTGATGGGCAGCAGGTGGAGGTGATGAGTGGAATTACAGCAGGTGGAATATAAAACCAGCAGCTTCAGTTCAGTCACAGCACAGAGCTCCTGCTGGGATCAGTCTGGTCCGGTTCTACTGCTGTCTCAGGGTTCACCATGATGCTGCAGGCTGTTGTCAGGTCAGGTTTCATCAAGTTCTTTAGGAAGGTTATGCTGAAAGTTCAGAAGTGTGTGTGTGTGTGTGTGTGTGTGTGTGTGTGTGTGTGTGTGTGTGTGTGTGTGTGTGTGTGTGTGTGTGTGTGTGTGTGTGTGTGTGTGTGTGTGTGTGTGTGTGT